GAGTTCCAGCATACTTATCCTGGAACTCCAAATAATATGCTGGAGTTCAAGCATACTTATGCTGGAACTCCAGTATAATATACTGGCGTATTTTTCGGGCTTTGAACAGTGTTTTTGCTCAGATTTATCTTTACATGAAAAGTGGCTAAATTTCGATTACTTTTAAAACTGTGCTATTTTTGAACGATCAGTTGTAAATCTGGCTATTTTTGAATTTCTCCCCTATTTCGCGTGTCTCGCACGTGGGGCCTTAACTAAAAAGAGAACGATAAAATAATTAACCAACATAACTTGAATCTTAATAGATAGTGTGAGAATATTTGTTACTTGGATTTTAATTCTTTATATATCCCCAAATATCTACTTACGACATGAATTAAAAAAAAGATTAACAAAAAACCATCATGGTTGTAGGACGTGATTTTTTTTTTGTACTATTATAAATTTATGGTAAAATGTAGACCATTCCTTTTCTAACTGAGGCGTCTTTCCCTTTCATTTAAGGATTCTTTAGCCAAAAGTTTCTATAGCAGATAAAATATATTTATGTATTACTTTTAACGCAGTCTTTATTACAAGGAAAGACTCTTAAATTCAATAAAGTTTCACTTTTGCTTTTTAATCCATGCGACAATTTACCCATAATTAAAAGTTACTCAAAAGTTTTCAAATATAAAATATGAATTGAATTCAAAGTTTTCAAATTAGGAAAAGTTCTAAATATGATCATTTTATCAACAAATAATTATCTTTTTTTTAAAAAAAATACCTTTTAAAATCTATCATTTTATTCTCAAATCCACCATATACATATAGCGGTTAATTCTTCTTCTGTAAACTAAATTAAACTGGTAATCTTAAATATATGAACCTGCTATACTTACAAGAAAATACTATTATATTTGAGTCTAACATTAATACACAAGCAGTGAGACTTTTTTTGACAATATTCGGTCGTTCAAAAGCCAAGCACAAGTAATAAGCTTTTAACCCATAAAATATACAATATCCTGCTACACAATATTAAACTAAAGTGTAAAAAGGATTTACACTATTAAATTTAAAATACAATTTGAATAACATTCAGAATAAAAAACTCAAACTATATATATATATATATATATATATATACCGATAATAGGGGGACTTCGAGTCGTTTTAATGGTAAGCAAAAGTAGTCACCGGATACTCCGGTGATTTATCAACATGAAACTTGTGGAATACATAATCTAAAAAAAGACTTGACAAAATACAACAAAAGTTAATGACTGCAATTTGAAACACTAAGAAAAATATAAAATTAATTTCACCTTCCCACGTTTTCCTTTTTTGCTCGGCGTATGTATAATTTAAATCGGAATAGAATTCTAGCCGTAGGTGATTTATAATTATATCCTTAAATTATACAAATATTTAAGGGCATAAAAGTCGATCAATATTTTAATGATATTTTAGTCATTCAACATTTAGCATGACTAACAAGATATAACAAAAGTTAGTGACTGCAATTTGAAACACTAAGAAAAATATAAAATTAATTTCACCTTCCCACGTTTTCCTTTTTTGCTCGGCGTATGTATAATTTAAATCGGAATAAAATTCTAGCCGTAGGTGATTTACATTATATCTTTAAATTATATAAATATTTAAGAACATAAAAATCGATCAATATTTTAAGAATATTTTAGTCATTCAACATTTAGCATAAATAATTCGTGCTTTTATAATAATAATATAGATAGATAGATAGTTTAAACTCCCAAAAATAAAGGTTCAGTTCCTCATCCATAAGCAAAATTAGGTTTTTACATGAAATATGGACACCCCCAGGAAATCAAACTGAAAAAGAATTTCAAAAAGTAAAATAACACTTCAAAAATAAAAAATTTAACTAAGAAAATATATAACCTTCAAGAAAAGAATACACACTTGCAAGTTTCATCAAAGCACCAATTTTTCACCTCTAGCACTTGAAATAATGAAAACCCACCAACAAATTTGAATTAGAACTCCAAAAATTACGAACACTCAGATGAAAAGTTACAAACTTGATTCAAAATATTGATCGAAATGTAAGAAAAAAGAACCTCACAATAAGAGCTATTTAATTTGTTATCACTCCTTTTTCTCAGTAATTAACGAAAATGGAAATAAAAAAGAAAGTAGAAAAAAGGCACATAGAGAGAGTATTTTTTTTCAACCTTAGATTGATAAAGGGAGCCGATCTTTGATTGAGGGGTCACACTTTCAATACAGGGGAAATCATCTTCTTCTTCACTGCTTTCCATCCTGATTTTTACTATAGAATTTTCCGTTTTGCAAATGTTGAAAATGGGAAATGAAGAGAGCGGTAGAGTTCCAACGGTAAATACTTACCGCACCAGGTGTTTACACCTATCCTACAAATAAATGACACATGTCATTTTAATTTACCACAATTCTTAGTATATAACCATAGTTAACTACCATATATATTTCACATAATTTTAAATATAATAGTATAAAAATACTTAATAATTTTTCTATTCTTTGTTATGTTCCTTATGTTAATGTTGTTTACCTCGAAAATGATAATTACAATTAGTTTTGATTTTGTGGTTTTAAAATACGTGATTTATTTTTATGCTAGTTGTTAGGCAATAGATGATAAGCGTGGGACTAGAAAATAAGGTAAGAGCTTGAAGATAGAATGCTATTTGAACCGAGTAGCCGAGAAACGGAGTCTCGAGCTAGCCTATACTGGGCCTCGAGGTCGAGCTAAAGCGTTAGACTGTGGATAGTCGATGAAGGATTAACGGTTCTGAGAGCTTTGATGATGGCTCTTTATGATCAATGATTAGTAATAAATGATGAACAATCAATGAAACACAATAAATGTAAGCAATGAATCAAAGGAAAGACAATAGAGAGTGTTTGAGTTAGAGAGCAGAGAATATTCTTGTTCTTGTGTTGAATATCGTGTGTGCAATAAATGACAAGGGTCCCCTTTATATAAAAGGGGAAATCCAAACATGGTACATGTATAATTATTACAAAGGAAAGTAGTTGCTACAGCTACTTAAAGGTCCGGTACGGACTTGCACTATTCTTGCAGGCGTTGTCAGCTTTGATCACGCGCCTTGGGAATTTTCCACTTGTCCATGACAGCAATAGTCGATTTGTGTTGCCCCAAGATCGAGCATAGGGAATCCTCGGGGTCAGATCTCGAGTTGTACCTCGAGCCTCCTAGGATATTGAATGTCATGTCGACCATAAAATCGGAATCTCCGATTTTAGCCGTATAGTCCCCGCGTTTCTTATAGTGAAAATGATAAGAAACGATCTTGAATTCTTGCCTCTTCGATACATTCATCACGACGTCAGTTGCATTATATAAAGTGATTGATGTGACAAAAGAGTGTTTAAAGGTCGCACCCATACAGCCTTTGAAGAGCCTTTGAATTGATTGCAGCGGTTGGCTACCGTTCGGCCGACTCCAATGTACATGATTGGCCTCTATAAATACTCCTTCCTTCGCCCCTTATTTCCACTGCATCTAAGCATTTGAAAGAGTTTCTTACTTCTATATTGTGTTCTTCCTCTGATTATAATTTTTTCTCCCCTCTGAAATTTTTTTAACAAGAATGGCGAAGACTTCCATCTCTGTCCCTCAGGAAGATGTGCCTCCCTCTTCTTCACGCTCTTCTAAGGGTAAGGCAACAAATGTCAACTTGAACCAGCGGCAAGTTACCGAAAACACAAGAAACCAACTGGAGAAAACTCAAGTTTTTTAGCTAGATGTTCATTTATTCAAAAATTGTTCCATAGCTTATACGACAAAACAAAGATGAGGTTTATTAGGATTTATTGATAAGGAAAAAAAAAAGGAGAGGAGGCAGACTATATTTCTTTCCTGGTACTTTCATATATTCAATGAAAACATAAAGATAACTCCACATTTATTCAAGTTATATTTGTAATTTAGTTTTGCTTACTCCTAAGCAAAAAGTAACATATGCGTACTTGCAAAACTTGTCTCCCACGAAATATTCTCAATTGTGTTTTCGCATAATATTATACATTAATTTTGCAATTGCATCATTGAAAAAGTAAATTTCAACTTCTTGTTAAATCAGCGATGAAGAATGAAACCAATGTTAGAAGAAAAATTGAGGGAAATAAAAGATAGAAATGTGCCGACACCCCTAAGTATGCCTTATTAGAAAAGATAGAAATGTGCCTTATTAGATTTACTCCATCTTTAAAAAATTTATTATTTAAAGATAGGACTCCTAATAAACTTTAATTTGTTGTTTATGGTTAACATAACTAAATTAGGTGTATACACCCGGTGCGGGTAAGTTTTTACCGAGTTCTAACTAGTGAGCTGGGTTATGGGTACCGGATAATGGGGCGGGTCGCTTTTAATTTAAGACTAGATGGACCAACAGCTTTGGATGGGTGCCACGTATCTAGTTCGTCAAGTTAGGGGTATATGTATTTTAATAGTAATACGGTAGGGATTTTTTTGTCCCAATAGTATAACGGAAGACAATTCTAAACCATTTTTAATAGTAGAGAAATATTTCAGACCCTTCTCTGTATTAAATAGCCTGCTTAGCAAGCTCCAAAATATACTTATTCTTAAAAGTAACTTTTGTCATAACTGCTTTTTAAAAAGATAGTATTGGAGAATAATAATTTGTACTAGGTCAAGGTCCTAAAAGTATTTACTTTTTTCTACCTTTGAAAACACATTAAGCTATTACTTAAAAACTTTTCCCCATACAAGCTTAACAAACACCTAACTATGTAAAATAAGCATATTTTAGAAAAATAAAAAATTACTAATCACTTTTGGCTTCTTTGGCCAAACAGGCAATAAAACATGCAATCGAATCACAATTATCAAATTTAGCATCAATTCACAGGGATTTTCCCAGTCGAATTTAGAGTTAGCAGACGAAGAATTCTGTTAGAAAAACTTTCAGTGTCAGACGAAGAAAAGTTTGAAAGAAAAAATGGGGGAAGACGATGTGCCGCTGGACGATAAAGCAAAGAGAATGAGAGATCTGTTATCAAGCTTCTATTCTCCTGATCATCCTAATTCTACTTAAATGTCGCCTAAAGCTACTTCCAGATTCGCTACATTGGATACCATCAACACCACCTCATTCGACGCCGATCAATACATGAACCTTCTTGTATGCATCTCATCCTTCTCACACTTAGTGTATTATTTCCCCCATAATACTCTTATGATTGTTTGATTGTCAGTGAGTTTAAAATTGTAGTTTGACGTATGCATTATGTTAGTGGTAATGGACGAAAATATTAAAGTAAAAGAATATACTATTACCCCTATTAATATAGAATGATGATATATATATCTAAGAACATCCCAAAGTGGAAGAGTGATATATACATTCTAATGGAGGGAGAGTTATGAGAGATATTTTTTTTATGGTGACACATTTCTTCATTGTCTGTATTATATTTGTGTAATCACAATGGTATAATTCCCTATACTACCGTGCGACCATACTATGATCCCATGTAAAGTCCACTTTATTACGATTCGCAAGACGTCTTTCAATGTACCTAGCTGCATCTTAGTGTAGCATATATGTAACCTTATCCAAACAAAACCAAAAAAAAAAAGGAAAAGAAAAGAAAAGAAAGAGAGTGTAACATATATGTTTGGAAACAAAACTGTTGTAACTCTTTAAAGAAATGACATAAAACTTTATGTGGAGATCATGGTTATTTTCCTTAACTTAATGTGTTCTTCTGAAAGACTTCTGGCTTCGTATATGAAATGCTTATGTTCTATTTTATCAGAGAGATTGTCACTAATCTTTTTTCTGTCCTGGAGTTAGCTATTCTCTTAATGATGCCATTGTCTTTGAAAAGATGATTGACTAGATAACGTGATTTTTCTGCATATATAGGTGCAGAAGTCCAATTTGGAAGGTTTGCTTCAGAGGCATGTTGAAATGGCTGCTGAGATTAAGAATCTTGATACTGACCTGCAGATGTTGGCATATGAAAATTACAACAAGTTTGTAAGTGCCACAGACACTATTAAAAGGTAAACCTTTTCTTTTCAAGTAGCTTTAAGATATGAGCTATTTCATCATGTTAGTGGCAGATACTTGGGTACAATCGCAACTGAATTCTAACTTAGTGCGTCGAGATTTTTATGGCATTATCAGCCGTGCCATGATTCCTGAATAATTGAGAAGAAATGAAGTAGCTTCATCAGTCTTGCATTGTTATGCTTGGCCTCAGATCGGATGTTGATATCACGATTGACAGGGTTTAATTTTTTTGCACTCTCTTTTGGCATGTTGGCGCATAACTTATTTAATGATTTCTTTTTCAGGATGAATAACAATATTGTTGGCATGGAAACAAATATGCAACAACTGCTTGAAAAGGTTTTATTTTCTTTCTTTCCTGTCTTTTAGTTGTCCAAAGAATTAGTTGCTTTATTTGGTTTTACTTTTGACTCAGGAAGTAAAAGCTGAAAAGGAATTGTGTGCAATGTATTAGATGTCTTTCAATTGTTTGCAGATAATGTCCGTTCAATCTAGAAGTGATGGGGTTAATACTTCGCTTTTTGAGAAGAGAGAACACATTGAAAAATTGCATCGGACCCGCAATCTTCTACGGAAAGTTCAGGTACTAAAGTGAGTTATTAAGCTAGAAGATTTTAATTTGATGCATCTCTACGGGTGTTCCTATAGCACTCTTCAGAACTAAATGAATCTTGCTCTTTCTGATTATTGAAAAAGGAATAAGCCATTTCCATTTCTACACTCCAGATTTGCGAGCTGGTTTATTATCAAATGTTTATGATTAAAGTAAGGGCATGAGATGGTGACTGGCAGTGAATTTGTATGTTAGAGTGTCCCACATTGGTTGAAATAATAGACTGTAATACCACGTCGGTGGTTTAGCCATTTGGTAGGGAATTTTTCCCTATAAAAGGAGGCCTAATGTTTAGGATTTAGACACACCTCTCACTTGCCTTCTTATCTTCTTAAGGCATTTGTATCTTCTCTCTTTAGTATTATTTCACTTGTATTTTTGGAGTGGAATAAAATATTGGTTGTGTTCGAGTAAGTAGGCAAAATTGGCCGAACCTCGTAAATTTTGGTGTTCCTTTTATTGTTGCTTTATTGTCTTATTTATTATTTGGTGGTTGTCATAATTTTTGGTATAGTAGTTGTGACTCATACACACTATATACATTTGGCTTCCGCAACAATTGGTATCAGAGCCAAGGTACTGTCTAAGTATGCTCTGTGATTCCATCATAGTCTGATCTTCCACATCAGAAAAGATTTATCTTGGTAACTGAGTTAAGGTTCTGTCTGAGTATGCTCTGTGGTTGCAGTTTAGTCTGATCTTCCACACCAAAAAGGAAATAATCTTGATTTGTGTCGTCAGCTATTAAATAATATTTGTGTCAAAGATGGGAGNGAATGTGAACATCGCTTAAAATATATCTTTGGACTGTGTCACATGAAATGCACCCACAATCCGAAACATATTTTATTTGATGTTTTAGGATTTGGATTTGGGTCGCATGAAATGCACACCCGAGTTTAGGAAAATTAAATTATTAAAGACGTGCCTAAAGCGACTATCGCGTTATTATTTTGCGGAGGCCGTGAAATTCGCTAATCGACCCTCCTGAATGCTAAGTAATTTTAAACAAGTATTTACTGAGGGCCCCGCAGTTTGTATTTTTTTATTCGGCGAGGCTCATCTCATTCTTATTTTTTTTAAAGAATTTGCAACGTCATGGAAATGCATCCCGGGCCACGCCACAATCAATGCGCCCGTGACTAGAGACATATTTCGACTCCGTTGAGATTTGGATTTGGGTCACATAAATGTGCACCCGAGTTTAGGGAGATAACATTATTAAAGGCGCGCCTAAGACAACTAGCGCATTATTATTTTTTGGTAGAGCCGCGAAATTTGCTAAACGGCCCGTCCCAGAATCTAAGTAATTTAATACACATATTTTGTGAAGGCTTTGCACTCTGTACATTTTTATATATTTTTTTTTTTGGCGAAGCTAGTCTCGTTTTTTTTTTATTTTATTATTTATTTATTTTAGAAAGAAAAAAACAAGGCTAAAATAACTACATTTTTTTTTTGCTACTTTTGCGAGGTCATGAGTTGTAGATTAAACTTATTTGATGAAACGAATATTTTTCAGTGGGATTAAAATTAGTCCTATGATTTTAACATTACTACTATACGTACAAACAACTCTTAAGACAAGCATGTAGATAACAATAATCTTAATATGAAGAAACAAATTGCGGAATAGCTACTTAAAATAACGAAACAAAGGAAGAGACATTCAACAAGTCCGATACACAAATAGTACATAGGAAATCCATATCATTTCATTCCATTTAAGCAAATATAACAAGTTTGGAAATGTATATGCACCTGTTTGAAGCAAGAACAACAACCAAACTGTCTCGACAGCTATCGGAAACCTCTCCAATGACGGAACCTCGATGTCGAACTCAACGATATCAGACCGGAAGCCACGAGCACAACCCGACGACGACCTCAGACGGTGTGCGCGACGATAACGAAGAAACGGCGGCAGCTGGGCATACTAACGCTAATGGCGTTACTGCTGGTTCGTGACTGGGGTGAGGAGGAGGCCTGGGGTTCGACTGGATGGGTTGTTGTCGTTGGTCGTGTTGTTGGGTTGCGACGGGGTGGTGTTTGGTCGTTGGTTATGGTGGTTATGGGTGGAGGTGACGGGGTGGTGTTTGGTCGTTGGTTATGGTGGTTATGGACAGTAGGGAGATGGTGTTTCGACGTGAGGGAGTCGATGGGGGAGCTGGTCGTCGTTCGGGTGATGGAGGAGGCTGGTAGGAGGACGAGATGGTGGTGCGAGGAGGACGACGAGTGAAGCAGCGACGGGGACTGCCGGGGTTGTAGGCGATGGGGAAGGTGACGGGGAGGTCTGTGTGTTTTGACGCTGCGATGAGGAGGGTCTCGTGGGTTTTGACGCTAGGGCTTCTTCTTCTTCTTGTTGAAGAAGAAGACGATGAACAGTAGTTGTTTTTTTTCAAATCAAAAATCCCCCGTTTTTTTTCGTTTTTCTTTTTTTTCGCACAAAGAAGAACAGTAGTATCTTGTTTTTAAAAATTCCTTTCTTTCTTCTTTATGAAGAAGAAAAGGGAACAGTACCCCTTTTTCCCATTTTTTAAAAGTCCCCCCGTCCCTTTTCGTTGTCCGTGTTTTGTAATGCTTTGCCCATGAAAATGAGCCCCACGCGTGGTGGGGTTCGAGGCATATGTCCCCCACGCGTGGTGGGGTTCCCCACGTGTCCTGGACACGGTTTATTATGGGCTAGGTCCGAAAATTAGGCCTAAAACCGGGTAGTTTAAACCCGAATATTATTCTTTTGCCCGGACCCGAGAAA